CCCCCCCCTCCACCCCTCCCCTCATCGGGACGCGAACCCCTCCTCCGTTCTCTTTTTTCATTCAACCCTTTGCTGCCGTGTCTCCCTCTATTAATTTACATGCCTACGCACATGCGTGCGACAGAGAGAGACCGGGGGAAGGGGTTGATGTTTGGCAGGGAGTGTGAGAGAGATGGACGAAGGATTGCCAATGATGCATACGAGGGGGAGAGAGAGGGGACGAGGAAGAGAGGTCACGCTAACACGGAAGCAAGCAGACAAACGTGCGATATACGAACCAAGAGGAGAGGGAAATGAAAAAAGAAGCAGGGGGGTTAGGTAGGTTGGAGTCGTTAGGCAGATTCAGTCTGGAGCTCACACCGAGCGCGAGATGAGCGGTCGGACCAGGCAGGAGGCTGATGCGGCAGCCGGGCGGCGGGCACCAGGACGACGACCAGGATGAGGAAAAGAGTTGACGGTGGCCTCGGACAGGGCGTCGTCGTTGTGAAACTGAGTGAGTGTATGTCGCCGATGTTACATCTTGTCGTTGCGCACCACGTCCTTCTCACGTCCTTACCAACAATGTCGTCTGCTTTTATTCAGAAGTATGCGGTGGCGACGACGACATCATTTGGATATTCTCTTGTCGCCGACTGAAATTGCGGCCAATCGGGCCAGCAATAACGACGTAAACCAACGTGCTGCGGTGAAGTGACGTCACCATCACCACCACCACCGGCCCGCTGACGAAGTTCGACGTGTCGTTTGTGCAACAGTGTGAGTGTCACGCGGATTGTTTGTGTGGACGTGAATGCGAACCGCAATGATGCAAGGCCCGCCGCAGATGCGCCAGCGGGGGGCGCCACTGTCGCAACGAACCACACTACCCCCGGCGGCCCATGGTCGTGGAACACACACGCCCTGGCCTTTTTTGTGTCGTCGTCTGCTGCCCAAGGGGGTCCTGTAATGGACGCCCCTGGGTTTGGCTTGGGTTGCCGGGCCAGAACGGCCACAAGTTTTCGTTCCCCTTCGTGCTGCGACCCCCGCCGCCGCTGCCGCCGGCCGCACCGCCCACCGCCATCGCCATCTTTTGAAAAGGGCGCAACGGCACCGCCGCGCACCCCGGCCGCGCCACGTCGTCGTTGTCGGTGGCGGCGGGGGCGGTGTTGACGTCGAAGCAATCCGAGGCTGAATAGAGCGGATGGTTTAGGCCCCCCAGGGGGTGAATGGTGGAGGCGCGGGGGTGGTGGCCGTGGTCGCGATGGTATGGTGTGCTGTGCACCAATCGAAACTCGCGCTCCACGCCGCGCCACCCTCGCACAAGTGTCGGTCCGCCGAGTCGGTCGCGTTTCTAGGGGTGGTATGGAAGACTGATGATGACTTTCTCGGCAGCGGCAGCTCATGAGCGCAGCAGCTCTGTTGTCGCCTCATGGCCATATTAGGCCATAGGTGCGTGAGGGCGGCAGGGCGGTGGCATTCCCCCTTTGAAAAAGTCGTGCTCATTGCCCGACCCCGCCCACGCGCGCGATGCGAAATATTTCCTCCATTCCGCGCCCTTTTTATTTTGGCCCGCTTTATACTACATGTCGCACATTGCGCGCCCGCGGTGCAACCGTCGCGCATAGCTAGATCCCTGCCCCACCGCCCCGGCGCTTTACATTTTTTCGCCTTATTTCCCCTCCTTTTGCGCCTCTTCGTTTGTTTTTCTTTTTCACTTTATTTTTTCTTTTCCTTTTTCTCCCTTTTCCCCACATAACTGCGCGATCTTTCGCTACACCAGCGGGCCGCTTGCGCGCACGTTAATATGTTTGCCTTGTCGCATGAAATATTATGGCCGTGTTTGTGTGTGTGCAAATTTGTCCCGTGATTCCTATGGCACTCGTATGACCGCGTGTCGTGAATAGCTCATGTTGTGCAAAGTCGGGCTCAGCCGCCGTGGAGCGCTGTCGCGCGGTGAGTTTTCGGCAAAGGGAAAGAAGAGTTTGTTTCTTTATACAAGGTTTCGTTCAATTTTCCGTTTAGGTTTTTTGAAGACTGAAAAAGAAGGAGATTGTTTGCTGGCGCTGTGTATCAAATAGGACTAGTTTCAGTTTCTACCCCCCATCCCCTCTTTTGACCTCTCTCCCTTCCACTGACCAGGAGAGCGGAAGGAAGCGCAACCCGCCCGGGACAAAGCAGGGGGGAGCAGCATTTAAAACAAAAGCTGACCAGAGAACAAAGGGGACACCACCTTAAAACAATGCCGCTCCCCCTCCACTACCGGCCCTGGGCAGATAAATTTCCTTAATGTGTCCGCCGGTTAATTTCGGGACAAAGCTGTGTCTGGGGTTAGGACGGGATGGGAGAGGGGAGGGGTAAGGGGCGGGGGACGACCGGCCCCTGCTGCCCCGTTAGGCTGGCAGGGATATAATGTTGCGTCGTCTGCAACTTTTCCTGTCGCCCCGTCTCTTTCTATCCCGACCCTCTCCATCCCTCCCTCTCTCTCTCGCGGTGCACGCTAAGAGGTATGGTGGTGGGCCCTAGCGACAAGGACGGTGCAAGGGGGAGAGGGAGAAGCCAGGCTTCAATCCCTCCCCCTCACAGCGTCCACCCCACTGGACAGTCCGCCATTTTGTAGTGCTGCTCTTGTGCGCGCTCCCTCGCCGCCCTGCTGGTCTGGATGGACCAAGAATTTTCTTTCTCCACGGTGGCGCGTTGGTTTACAATCGATCGCAAGTTTAACAATTTGACACTGTGCGAAAAAAGTTCTTGTTAGTTATTAACGTTTCGAAAAATCGCAGTTAATTTTGTTTTGTATTCCTTTTATTTTGGAAATGGTACAGTATGTCTGGTTTTTTTCCCCCGGCCCCCTTCTTTTTCCGTCTTGATTCTAATTTGCGTCGTGGAATTAATATTTTACTGGCTGTTTAGCACCGTCGCGACCGCATCATACACCGTGAATCTGGGCGGCTCGGGTACACCACCTTATTCCGCAGAATGTCCTCATCCCTCCCCTGCCGCTCCCTCGTGGAACTGAAAAATTAATCCTTTTTTGGCCTCCAGTAGCCCCTGCTCCTTGCTTCCCCCACCTTTTCCTCTACTTCCCGCGTCCTGCCTCCTGGAGAAGGGTATCTCTTCTTGCCGAGCTTTCTAAAGGCCATGAATAAAAAACAACTCTTTATGGGACCGAGACGGATGGAGCTGCCAGAGGCAGAGAGGCTGTGCAGACGATGGATGGATGGATGGGTAGATGGATGGATGGATAGGTAGATATATAGGTGGATGGATGGGTTGATTCGATGGGTGGATGGAATTGATAGATCGATGTGCGATAGGAAAAATATGAAAGTCTAGGTGCATCGATGGAAGATCTCGTACTCTAGGATGGTTGAATGAGTGGATTGGATGGACGCTTGGGAAGATAAACCTTGTCTAAAGATTTTTATATTTTACTTAAGGGATTTCAATATGTCTTAACGATGGACTCTTTGATCTGCTAACGACAGATATTCCTTGTGTTAATGTTTTTGACTTTGCAATAAAGTCACAAATTACGTTGGAAATAGGCAAAAGAACTGCATTCATTCAAAGACGACATTTTCTGGGTGTGGATGAATGAGTGCATGGATGGATGGATGGATATGAATGGATAGATGGATGGTGTTGCGAAGACACCGCATGGCCGCGTTGCCGGCGAGGCGGAACCTGTGCAGCTCGAGCAGCAGGCAGGGCGTTTGTGTTTAAGCCGGGCTGTTTTTTCCGCGCTGTGGATTATAAGAAATGGACAGAGAGTAAAAAGCGAATAAACAACCGCAAAACGCGAAAAACCAGCGACAGCAGCAGCTTGTTCTGAAACATGTCACAAAGTGCGATGAGAAGAGGAGGTGGCGCGTGGTGGATGGACAGAAGAGGGCCTAACAAGGGGGGAGGGGGCCGGAGCGAAGCAGGGCAGTGAAAGGAAGGCTGCTTTTTAAAGCTCATCCTGAGTGAATGAACGCACCGCCGGCGACCAGGGACAGAAAGAGAGAAGATGGAGATTTGGGGACGCTAATGGCAACGGAGAGAGAGGGACGAACGCGGACAAAACGTTCGCGCCTCTGGCTTTTCACGCAGCAGTGCCGTCTTGTGGAAACAACAAACGCCCCGTTCATTCACATCTTGGTGTCGTAATTACCGCGTCTCGCCAACGAGCGGACGCAAAGGATATAAAGGAAATGATAAAAACGCCGTCATTAAATGTAGTGTCGTGTTAGTCAGCCAACGTGTGCGCCCTGATTACGACGGTGTGTTTGGCTGCCATTGGCGCGCCGTCGCGTGAACGGTTTTTGCACTGCACCGCGCACTCTCCCCTCAGCATTATTCATGGAGATTGTATCCAAAACGCTGTTAGCGTGAGTACTGTGTCGTAGCTAGGATGATGTCACTGTACACTTTGAAATATGCTTTCATACGTTTCGAGAGACTTTTCCAAGAATGATGTAAAGCTACGATTTGAAATTTACAAAATTCCTTTTGACTACGTACCGCCATGGGATGCTTCAACACTAAAGTGGGCTAGTGCAAATGTGCGACGTCCAAAACCCACAAAAATCGTATGCTAATCGTAAATTACAGATAACATTGCAAATTAACAGAGGTATTTTTTACATTGCAGATGCTGCTGGAAGGTGCGCCGGTTTTTATTCGTCGCGTGTTGCGTGGCGAGGCCCTCGGCGGAGCGTCCGGCAGTCAGTCGCGGCCCCCTTATGAGTGTGAGTAAACACTTTACGGCGCCGAGTAACGCTCGTCCTAACGCATAACGCGCGCCAGCTTTACGGCCGTCAAGCGGGGGGGGGGGGGGG